TGAAGAATTACTTAAACCTCAAGTTGTGAGAAATGTAAAAGAAAAAATCAACCAAGAAAGAACTCAACAGAAGTCATATTATGATCGTCATACAAAAACATTACCATCACTAAATAAAGGAGATTGTGTTCGGATATATCACGATAATCGCTGGAAACCAGCAGTTGTAGAAGAAGTGCATAAGACGCCTAGATCATATATACTTAGATCAGGGTGGATCAGTAACCGGACTATCCTATGGTGTGTCAACTGTTGACAGTGGCGTAGCTAGGGTGGGGCAAGGAAGACATCTGTTCTCGGGCGCTGAAAACCCTAGCTAAGCCTCTGGGTTCGACCCACGTCAGAAAAAAACTTCTTGAAATTCTTGAATGGACCGTTCGGCAGCATTCCGCTCTTCATCATTAAATTCTGCATTCTGCAATAACTCTGGCGTAATACTCTCTAAAGATCTAAAGGCACGGATTCTGTTACTGCTTCGTGTCACTGGAGTACATGCTGCAACCACTTCATGTTTAATAACCCTCGCCTTGTCCAGTTGCATTAGCAAATCTCACTGGGATAACGGTCTTCGATAGGTTGCCTAATGCTGAGCCTACTGGGGCTCCTTTACAGTTGTTACAGTTTTTGGGATATTCCATGACGCCGTAGCGGAAGTTTCTATTTTCGGCTATGGATCCCGGAAGTATAAATTCTATTCTTACTGGTTTTGCGATATCGTCTTAAGCTACGACTTTGAGGACAGATTCAACTCCTTCATCATTAATTCCAAAAAGGGCTATGTCCTCTGAGGCAGAATGCAGTTCGTTACTTTTAAAGTCCAAGGGAAAATTGTATTTTCTTAGAAAGTCCAATCCGAGTATGCAAGGATCTGCAATTTGTGCCCCATATGCCGAGTGATGGAAGGAGGCACTTCCAAATGTGACGTTAACGTTAAATTTTTCGTCGATGTCGACCTTCTCGTCGGACACAGTCTGGAGGGTAACACAGGGCGGCGTTCAGATAAGTTTACCTTCAAGTTGCTGATTCAAATCTTTTTCGGATGATGGTAACGGCTCCTGTATCGATGGTCATATTGCAGGGAACTCCATTAATATGTCCCATGATGAAGACTCTACTACTGCCGCCACTCATAGCAGAAATCTGAAGCGCTTTAACCTTTTCACGTGGGCTCGAAAAATAGTTGTGTTCCTTCACTGGGGGCTCTTCGCTCAGCTGTTATGGAAAGGGGAAAAAAATTTTCAGATCGAGTCTTAACGACGAGGTGATTAGTGCTCTTTTGTTGGCAGGCAGAGAAACGGTCAGTATTTCTTCTCGTTCTAGCTCCAAAGCTTTAGGTGTTAGAATGAGAGAAGTATTCCAATTGTTTTCACACTGCAGGTAGATGTATGCAGTTTTCCCATGAAACGCAATTTATTGTTTTATTAAACAAAATGTTTTTTGCTACAACTAGACAATTTTGTTCATTTTTTGGTTAAAATAACTTAAACTTGCACATAGGTTATACACTAAAAAAAAAAAAAAAAAAAAAAAGAGGGAGAGAAGAAAGAAGCAATCAGAGCTACCTATATTCACTTGTCACAGTATAGAGAATTTAGTGATTTAAAATATTCAAACATATCCTTCAAACAATATTACAGATTTTAATTTTAAGTATTATAATTATCCTGATATTGAAGAGACAATTAAATACAGTTTAATTATTACAAGTGTCATTTAGAAAGCATTTTCGAGTTCCTAAATCAGTGTTATTTGATTTACACCTCTGTAAAATTCATTTCTGGAGAAAAAGAAATTGGTAACTGCGTTTGTGCTCCATTGAGTCATTATTGAACAACACTAACAAACATGCACTAATGAAAATTTACCAATGCCCGAAGAATTTTTTTAAATAATTTTTTCTTCCATGTGACGTTGCAAATAACATTGCAGGCTTGATCTGCCTTCATATCAGGGTTATGAGATCTTTAATTTTTTTAACCGCTTTACAGTTTTTGGTTCGATAAAGAAATGCAGAAGTAAACACTGGAGGTTTAGAAAATACAATCTTTGTTGAGTTTCAATGTATTCAATAACAAAAATTTAGGTTTACCACTTAGAAGTATTATATATTAATTTTACCTTAGAATAGAAGGGAAATAGTTGTTCGTCGATTTATATTGTTGCTGCATTTGTTCTTTAAAAGCAAAATTGCATATTCAGGAACCCATTAAAATTTCAAAAAATAAAGATTTTTGTCGAATGGAGAAATATTTTTTTCAGTTTTTATTATCTACATTTTCACAATGCTAAAATCGCCTTTAGGTATCAGATTGTTATGCGAAATTTTCAGATCTCAAGCTTTTTATCGTTGCTTTCTTTCGGAGTAATGAAGCTCGGAATGGAGATTCGTACTGAGTTGATGAATATTAATAAAGAATCGTACTGAGGATTAAATACAGGGAACTAAAAAATAGTACACATCTCAACTACTCTATACATCCTTAGTATCCTAATATATCGTTTGATTCCCTCCAAAACATAATTCTCATGTAAAAATTAATTACTCTCATGTAAAAATTAATCTGAACACTACATGTGACTGAGTGGTCAAGAATAAGTGGGTGGTTGAATAATATCTGAGTGGTTGAATACCTGGTAATTCGGCTTGGGTGTGAGGCCAGGCGATTGGGTTGGCTGCATGGCTGGATTTTGATGTTTGCCCTATGTGAAACGTGAATACGAGATAGTTCCCTCAAAAGTTCTCCCCGAAGGCATCCTTTTCCATACGTAGGCATCCTTTCCCTTAGGAAGGCAGCCTTTTCCCGTGTTTAATTAATCTAAACTAACGTATCTACTTTCTGAAAGAACTGATACAGATATCATATTATAGACGCAAAACCTATAACAACGGATAAATTAATAAGTTTTGAAACTTTTTTAAAATTTTGAATTATAAAATGTTCTTCAATAACTGCTTTAATAAAAATTCATGTTTCATTTATCGCACAGTCAAAATTCATTTTGACATCAAAATTATTTATAAAAGGGTTTCTAAATATAATTATGAGATGCTCATAAATATAGGTTTCTTATTTCGAATATAATTTTATTTTATTTGTCTGATTAAAGAAAAGATTATCTGCCTAATCGAAGGGGGCTTTCGTGGAGGACGTTCGAAGGAAATTGGCTCATATACATGAACGAATACGAAAGGTTCATGCAGTCAATCCGTTCATCGAAATTTGAACCCGTGTTGAATTATCACTGTTAAAGAAATTTTATCCGCTCAGCCGCTTGTTATAATTTAGAACATAACTAACAAAAATTTCACTCAACTAGTAGTCATGGAATGCATGTCATTTAGAAATAACAATAAAATTAATTTTCATCACTTGAAACGTTTATATTCATTACACTGCCTTTACATGCACATTAAAAACTGGATTAAATTGAAATAAACAATTACAAAAAGAATGAAACAAAGAAAATTTCCTTTAGGTTTAGCCATTATTTAATACAGAACTAAAAAAAATGATAAATATCAACTCAAAGAATTTATAACAATATTTGCAAAAAGAAAAAACAATTGAAGAAAAATCTTAAAACGCAAACGCGAGTAAGAAATTATTCTTTTTATTTTCTCCTCTTGAGAAAATATTTCTCGGAAGTCACCGAATTCGCAAACATGCCATGTGGGTTCAAATTATGGACAATTACCCCTACCCATTAGCAGAACCCACAATTTGGCCATGGCATAACACTTGTTGTGTTTGTACCAGTAACTGTTTTTTGCCAAGGCTCAGATTATTTCCTTTGTGATGGCATGTTGCTGAACTTAAAACCCTCTACACACAGGTGTGTCATACATGCATCAGTTCCAAATGTCACTTGCACCGATCTTCCAGACAGGTGGGTCATATATGCACTTTCAAACATACGTGTTCTTTTAGAATTTTTAAAAATCACTATATGATGCTCCATGTCCACTATTAATGAGCTCATTTGAACATATACATTACTGACTTTTTGTCTGAGAAGTACTTTCTGATTCTGGAGATTTCTTTAGATGTACAAGCATATGATATAAAGTAAACAAAACCAAGCTGACTTGCAGGCTTCACATGCTATAAACATTGAACAGTTTCCAATGCTTCAAATTTTCGTTTTGTTTTTTCCTATAGGAAGACTGGGAGTGGAGCTGTGGTTTTAGAAGCTCCAGTTTGCATCTCCTTTAGATAGCAGACCAGTTTCTTGCACTGGTTAAGAGAGTTTAACTAATAGTATGATGTCTATGAAAAAAAAAAGTTTTTAATGGAAGAATATATTCGAATTGTAAAGCCTACAAGTGACTATTTTGACAGTGAAGATTCTAGATTAAGCAAGAACAGCTGTTTTGATACCGACATTTCATTAGAGACAGAACTAGAAGTTATCTTGCTTTCACTTCACAATTAAGCAGAACAATGGCTAAAACTCGGATCTCTTAAGTAACTGAAGAATTATGAATTTATAGGAATTACAACAGTAAACTTAATTCAAAGTAATGTGAAGGAAAATGATTTTTTTACCATTTGCTTTAGATAATGTAATGAACATACTTGAAAAAATTAATAATTTCTATGAACAAAAGATGAATCAAAATTCAACTTCATCCAAAATCAACATACTTTTGTTAAATGTGCCTAAGTGAGGGGATTCCTAGGATGAATTATTCTGTAGGAACAATTAAAAAGGTCGACCTGAAAATGTGTTTCATAGCTAATGAAATGATAGTGACTAGATTATCACACACTGTCTCCTTTCTGAATCATTCATGCCTTAATATTTAATCAGATATTTTATTATTTTTTATGTATGTTTAGATATAGATTTAAGTAAGTTTTCTATAACATTTCATCAAGATGAGTCTTTTACTTTGTGTTTAGATTTTAATTAAAATTTTTTCAGAATTTCTTGATACTCTTACAAAAAAAAAAAAAAAAAAACTGTAACTAAATTAAGAATAAGTTCTTATCAAAGCATGTTTGTAAAACAAACAAACTTTATTAATATACATACATACATAAAAACAATTTTAAGTGTTCGATCAAGATTTTAATAAATACAGTCACAATATCTTTTATGAATTTATGCCAAGAACATTTCAAATTATCAATAAATTTTTGAATGAGAAAAATCTTATAACAAAAACAATATTGTACAGTATATTAATACTTTAATACAGACTCCAACATGAAGAAATAATTAACAGAATGTTTATTTTTTGTCAATATAACCCTCAGTGATTTCAGAATAAAACTTAAATTAAGCATATAGTATATGCTACATAACATTTAAAATAACGTATATTGTATTATACAGAAAAAAGATCTTCAGTCTTATAAATCAATTATATGTTATTTTTATGAAAAAGTATTAATATCAAATGTTAAAATTCTTTGCTCAAAAATTGTGTACAATTATAAATAAAAGCAAAGAGTAGTATTTAAGGAACCAATTTATATGATGAATCCAACAATGGCAACATACCAGCCACTGATGAAATCATTCCTAGCAAACCAACTGTTCTAGGATGTATGGATAAATATCCTAACTCGGCAAGGGGTAAACAGATATCACAACCATTCTTTACTGTATCTAAAGCAAGATCTTTATGCATTCTTAATAATCTATATAACATACTGAGCTGAGATAAAAATGGATTAGCATATTTCTTATTACTCGCCTGAAGATCGTGTTTTAAACTACCATGAGTAAAATTATTCATGACGCTCATAATTTCATAAAAGTCTCTTGTTAAATTCATAGTTAAATAATACAGCCACAATTTATAACTCAATTTGGACCACTTTTCTTTATCAATGCTTAAAAGTCCAACACGTCCAAGCCATATAATATGGTCTGTAAACAAATACATTGCCATATTGATTTTAGATAAAGTTATAGAAAATCGCAGAACTGGATCATCTAAATGAAGAGTATTAAGTGCCGCATAAAATGTATCAAGACTTCGACCAAATCTATACACTGGAAAAGAAAAAAGATACATATATTTCTTTAAAAAAGGTACATACATTTATGTTTCTTTCTGAATGCTTTAGCATGCATATACATATATTATACATACACAAACATATTATACATAACACCATGCCAGTGATGGAAACTTCTGATCTCAGTGTATCAAAATTTGGAAAAACCCTAGCTTAACTCTGGTGCAGTCATGTATAAAATCATTCATATGCCAAAAACGCACTTGAACACACCTCAGATCAGCACAGCACGAAAGCTGTTACAAGAGACAAATATTTTTGTATTATAAAATTTTTGTCACTACTGACAGCTTTGGAAATGCATGATACATGTCACTAAAATGGTTTTGTATGTCACTTATGACATGCATCATAAGTTTGCCATCACTGCTCTATGCAATAAACAGCAAAAGTAAAAAGCAAGCTTTCAAGATTCTCAGCATTTATGTTTCTTTGTGAATATGGGTAACAACTGCTTAACTCTCAAAATCGAAATCTTAAAAAAGGCAGATTATGGAAAAAAACAGCGAATGGGAAGAAAGTATGGGATTTTCATGCTGTGCGGCAAAGCCATTGGGGGGGGGGAACTAAACTGACTTTAATTCACTTTATAATGCATGGTTCAGGTTACTGAACTATTTTTAATTCAATTCTGATGCAATTTAATTAGATATTCTAAATTTTATGTTCTTTGGCTAATTTCATTTTTAATGTTCTTACAGTTTTGTATTGAGAAAAATCCTAAGTAGTGACGAAAAACTTTTATTTATCAAAGTACTTTTAAATATGATGAAAATAAAATTAATAATAGCATTTACATGGATAAACTTAGTCATGTACTATATATTGAAGTAAACAAAATTAAATACAAATCTTAACTGATTAAACATTGCTTGAATCTTCATATAAAAATCTACAAATGTTTGCAGTAAATTCAGACAACTCAGATATAAAAAATTAATAAGATAAATAAAATGCAAAAACAAAAAATTTTAATTTAATAAGAAAAATTATTCAAAGAATCATCAGAGGTAGGAGAATGGAATATTCCTAATTATAATTCAGTAAATTTCATTTATTGCCAGGATACATTTTCCTTGGTCAAGGCCAAAAATTAAAAAACGGGAGGTTTGTTGATCTACTGGGAGATGTGATGAAAAACAGAGAGTTAGCAGCTATGCAACTGTATACTGGTAAAGCTCTTGGTTGGTAACTGATGACAAAAGTTACCTACCAAGAATTGCATGCATTGGGAAAAACATTTTCTTATTTAACTTTCAAAAGATAGCTAGTTTTTATTAATATTGCACCTGCATTTCCCCTCAAAAAGTCTTATGCAGCTAATTTTTCATCATATAATTGAACTAAATGAAATCACCATTCAGATTCTTTGCTTTATTCATTCAACAACTTATTAGTAACAATAAAATTCTATTAAAGTTATTATATGGCTAATTCACATCTTCATTTCTACATCTACCACTAATGTAGTTGCATTATCACTCATTTTCTGAATAACAGCAACTGAATATTAAATCAACAAATCATTATAACAATTCAAGATTTTGAAAATATGCTATAAAACATTCATACTATAAGCAGCTGGCATGTTGGCCTGGTAAGCTTATATATGTGACCAGAAACAAAAATTGGGTGTTACCAGTGGCATGATTAAATTTTTAATTTTTCAAACACATTGAAAATTAAAATTTTGTAAAGCATTAACTTTGTGACACCACTACAATCATAGCTATTTAAATACTGACTGTTGCTGAATACACAATCAAATATAGTGGAACCTCGAGATACGAGCACCTCTATACACAAGAAATTCGAGATACGAGGAAAGTATGAGCGAAAAATTAGTCTCTAAATACGAGCATTGACTCGAGTAATGAGCCAAGCTGTTGGTACGTGTGACGTGTTTCCTGATCCAGCTTGACTCGGGGGAACATTCTCCTCAGATCACTCACTGTTTTTTTTATCTACGTGTTTGTGCGCTTGCGAGTTGCATGCTTTTTTCATTTAACACAAAAATAATTATTTTACGATACCTCCCAAGAAGACTGTTACCTCAGATAGTGCTGTAAAGAAAAAGAAGGAAGCCATGGCCATTGAAATTAAGAAAGAAATCATAGATAACATAAGCGTGTTGTAAAAGTGATGTAATTGGCAAAGACTTACGTCGATCAACATCGACAATCTACACTATTCTAAAGAAGAAGGAAGAAATTAAGAAACTTGATACGGCCAAAGAAGTTACTGTTATTTCTAGACACTGTCCTCAACTCCTAGAAGATGTTGTTGGTGTGGATTAACGAGAAGCAGTTAAAAGATGATTTGCTGTTGGAAACTATCATTTGCACTAAGCTAAGAATCTGTACTTGGACCCTCTTCTGAAAACACCAGGTAAGTCAACTGAAGATGAGATGATAATGAGATTTTTAAGGGTGCAGAACAGATTAACTGGATTTCCATTATTTCCAATGAGAAAGTTTGTTTCTAGATGCAAGAAATTCGATATACAAGCTCAATGCTGGAATGAATTCGTATCTCAAGGTTCCACTGTATGCACCTGAAACTAATCTTCAATTTTGCATGTGTAAACTATTTTGTAGTTGTGTTATTTTTAATTATTTCAATTTCAAGCACATACATCTAAAATTTTATAATCCATAAAAGCAGGAACATCTTCAAGAAATAAATGAAAAATAGTTATGAAAATAAGGTTATTTCAGAACAAAAGAGAAACAAATATTTTGGGGCAAAATGAATATGGTCCAATAATTTGTTCACTTTATCAAAAGAGAGTGATAATAAAAAAGAGAACATTGATCAATGTTATATTATGAAACACAAATCATTCAAAAACTCTTTTCCTCAAGGATCTTTGCTAAAAAGCATAAAATTTACTTTCTTCAAGAAATCTTTGCAACAACTAAATATAATGCTGCAGGCAATTTCCAAGATATAGCAGCGACAAGAACATCATATGAAATTTTTTACACAGTTGCCAAACATATGAAAATACACACAGAAACTGTGAAAGGATGCTTTAACCGCTTGCCTGATTATCTCGAGTTATCTCGGGTTCGTATATATTGCAGTTAATTATTATCCCGAGAAAACTCGGGTGAAACAGAATTTGTCAGTACGATTTGTTTTATCATGGTTTCACTCGGCATGGAGTAAATGAAAGGAAATATTCAGCTTTTATTGGCAATTCGCCAAGTTTTGTTGGTTTCGTGGTTTTTTTGGCGGGACTGGTCACGTGTTTTCCCTATTGTCTAGTATACGTCGGCTTGTGGATTAGTAATGTATAAAAAATTATGGTTGCGTTGAAAAAAGTAAAATAATGGCGATTATGCAAGATAGCGAAAGCTATGATTTTTCAGATAGTGACTATAACCTCAAGGCATTTTCCAGATGTTATTCCCGCTACTGAAAAAAAAAATCAAATCCAATGAGTCAGTGTCCTCTGTCTCCCGTAAAAGAAATTACAGAGGTAAGCCAGTAAGAAAAGAGACCAGGTACCAGTGTATAGAATGTTAAGTATCACTTTGTGTTGTCCCTTGTTTTAAAAACTCTCATACAACGACTAAAATTTAATTTTTTTTATTTGCCCGAGATACTAAACTAATATTAAAACTAAATGATTTTACACCTGTAAAAAATTAAAAATTCAACTTAAAACCTATACACGGTCAAAAGTCGTTAATTTGGACACCCATAATCCGGAATTTATCTATAATCCGGACCTCAAGGCTTCAAACTTTCTGCGCATGCATCGCGTTGACGCATGCGCGTATGAATGAATATGCTTGTGCGCGTGCGCAAAATACGTTTACGAGTGCTCGTTTAATGTATAACGGACGGTATAAGCTAAGCTAAAATTATTTAATTATCTATTTCAGTTAATGTTGCAGATTGCGTTTTCCCTAAATCTTCGAATTGGATCTGGCTTATTATTTTTTGCAGACTGTTAGAGCAATTTTTATAAAAGTAAGCTTGAACTTTCGGTTATGTCAAATAGAATTTCTGATATATATTTATTAATATGTAAATGATCTACAAAGTGAAAGTATGTTTTGAAGTTCATTAAAAAAGTGGAATTGCTACAAAAAATGGATAAAGGCATATCCTTTGTTTATCTTTAACACTGTGGCGCCACGCAATGAATTGGAAGTTGATCTGTCAGCACTATCCTTATCTTCAGGGCAGATGTTTTTATTTTATTTGGCTTATAATTCCTTATTAAATGTAGTATTTCATCTTGATGTACTCCATCTTTGATATGATTTAAATGAAATTCCTCGTCATTATAATTCGCTTCCGATAGCAAAGAAGTGACAGAGGTTATTGAAAACGAAAAAATTTCAATTGACAAATTAGTCGGTATTCTCGACACAGCAATTATAGGACTTGAACAGCGGAACTTTGTAACTAAACAAGAAATTATGTCTGTTTAAAGAATTAAAGAGAAAGTATTATGACATAAAACGAAGCAACTTACATTGAAAGAAATGTTTAATGAAGTAAACAAATAAATATTAAGCTTTTTTTTTTTGTAAATTTTGATACCCTTTAAATCATAATTGTTCTTTATTTCATAAATTATGGTTTTATATTTTTTATTTTATAATTTCTGCATGCCATCTTACCAGATTTAAACTGATGATCTATAATCCGGAATCGCCGAGGTCCCGACGAGTCCGGATTAACGACTTTTGACTGTATTGTATTTTGTTTCGTTTTCTAGTATTTAATAATAAAATAAAAAAACTTGATGATTTTTTTGCAGTTTTTTTCAAAAAAATGTGTAAGGGAAGCGGTTATTGTTTTGAACAAATTTAATTCAAGATTTTTTTTAATTTCTCTCTATGAAAATTCAAAGATTACCTTTATAGAAAGAATTATATCGATATGAAGTAATCAGGGTACTTTCTATTATTAGCACCTTGCGCTGAAATGTTGCAGTTTTTTTGGTAACTTTGG